TTAATATTTTAATATTAATTATGATTATTATTATTATTATATTTATTATTATAATTATTATTATTATTATTGATTATTATTATTATTATTATTATTATTATTATTATTATTATTATTATTATTATTATTATTATTATTATTATTATTATTATTATTATTATTATTATTATTATTATTATTATTATTATTATTATTATTATTATTATTATTATTATTATTATTATTATTATTATTATTATTATTATTATTATTATTATTATTATTATTATTATTATTATTATTATTATTATTATTATTATTATTATTATTATTATTATTATTGCACTTCATTGACATTTTTGTTGTGATAAACAAAAATTGATTAGTTTTCTTCACAAAATGGTTTCCAATTTTTTTTTGTTTTCCATCCTTGTGCTCCGTGATTCTTCCTAGAATAAATCCCTAAGAAACCTTTATTTTTTTTTGGCCAATGTATCCCACAACATATGCAAATTGCTTGGATATATGTTACACGGAAATTGATCAATGAACAATGTATTATTAATTACACATTAGTTACAGAAAATATAATAGAATAATAAATATGAATATAATCTTTCATTTCTAAAATTTCAAGATGTAGTCACATTTTGTACAAATCCATAGACTTTTTTCCGTAGCCGATATTAGTCGCTTATAATACATGACTTAGCAGTGTACATATCTATAAATCATTTACAAACAAAAAACAATTGTTAGAGATATCATGTATACATTAAAAGAATGAACAACAAATAATGTAAACTTAATTATGATCAAGTAATTATCATGTGCATAGAAACAAATGAATTCTACTGATTTATTTTGTCGAAAAAAAACATTCGGAAAAAATGTACACGAAACATGAATTTCAATATAATTATCCGAAAAAAAACAAAAAAAAAAAAGAGGAAATACAAAAAAATATGAAGTGTAAATAATTAATTAACATTAAAACAAAAATTTTGAAGATTGGTTTTTTGAATTTGAATTTAAAAATAAATTAAATACATGTTTAAATAAGGAAACCCAAAAACCAATATAATTAATGCTATGTGTCCAATCATGCTAAATCATAATATATACATATATATATATATATATATATATATATATATATATATATATATATATATATATATATATATATATATATATTGGGCCTCGGACACGTGTACGCAGTGGAAAACAAATTTTTTTTTATGCGAATTAAACGAATTTAAAACACATAAACACATGCCCGATAATTGAAAACACTTAATTGCATACCTTTGCGTTTCCAGCGAAATTAAAAACAACATACATGCTAAATAACTTAATCGAAATTAAATCAACTAGCATGCTCGCGTTTAAATCAAATAATCATGCTCGCAGTAATTTAAACAATTTCATGTAGTCACATAAAATCATACAAGTTTGCTTACTAACGAACATGCATATTTAATTTAAATAAAAACTAATCGAATAAACACGGATTCGAATTATTACCTCTTGAAGCGTGAGGTAGGTGCTCAAGTCGAAGCAAAATAGCCAAGGAAACCAATGTGCAATCCGGGGCAGCATCGGCGGCGATAATCCGAGCTTTACAGTACGATTCCCTAGAAACAAATGAAGTGTCTGCAAGAACCTTCTGATATAGTTAGCGTACAGTACGATCCCTTCGATTCATATGTCCCGATTGAACTAGAGGCATTGGTTCATCGAGACCTCTTTATTTGTTCAATGAAGGTGCGATCGTTCTAAGTGTTGTAATCGTTAGCATAACTTAGAGAATCAAATTCTCTAATCACCACTTAGTCAGCTCTGGCCAGAGAGTTAGAGATTACAAACTATGAGAACACACAGGACATTTAAGACTATTCTAGTGATCGAATCCCCGACTATAATGCACAGACCTCCCACTAGATTTCGGACTGCACGAACACTGGCCCTTGGGGCGGTCCTCGGTGGAACTCAGGGACATGTCACGATACAGCTGGTCTTCTAGTGAAGTCACGGTGATGTCTATGTCATAAGGACTAATGGTGTACAACTATACCACAGATATCTCTACTCGATTATTGGGAACCACTTAGAGATTTCTAGGGTGAGGGAGTTCAGTGAACTCGTCAACTTACGAGCACCCACTTATGCATGCCGATATCACAATACCGTTTACTGATGAGATGCAGTACACATACACTAAGTGCTAGTCTCTTAATGGGAAAGACCGATATCCTCATTGGTGGTGTAACCCTTCGACTAGGAACACGTTTAACAGTTATAATACTTAAGTAAATATCTCACGATCCTAACGATCAATTACTTGTACTTGTAATAACTGTAAGGACTATATCTATGCTTGTGACAAATGGACAAAGATATAGAATGCCAAGGTGTTTTGTCATTAATACGAAAAAAAGTTTGTCTATTACCATAATAAATACGAAAGACCACGGCCACATATTGGCTTGTTGGTCACCTACTCTAACAATATATACCCTTTGAGTTTTCATAGGACTTATATATGTAATTCATATATTCAAAATCCATAGAAATATATGTAATATCCTTAATTGAAGTACAATTTCAAAGTTTTCACAAAATAAGATCATTGATTTATATTAATCAAAATATATGTAATTATAGTTCATCATATCTAGGAACAAATTAGTACCGTTTTCCATAATTAGAGAAATAATATATATTGCAATTTATATTAATTGATAAGAGATTATGGAATATGGAAATGATCTCCATCAAATTAATAATCAAAATAAGAATATCTTATACTAAGTCAATTGTTAATTAATATGTGTTATTATTGGTAAGTGCATTGAATAATTAATTTATGTGGGTCTATTAATATGGTGATAAAAATGGAACAAAAAATGTCACATAGATATGCCACATGTCGATTTTCTAAGCTACGAGCGTTTCAATTTATATACTATATAGATTGAAAAATCAGAAATCTGAACTTTAATTTTTTTTTCGGAGGAATAAAGTAAAATTAGGGTTAAGTAAACAATAGAGTAAAACAGAGGGTTGAAAAAGTTATTTTAGCAAAATAATCAGACCCATAATCATCATTACGATTCTAGTATAATTATAAGATTTTTTTGGTAATTATTTTGATCGGCAAGTCCAAATGCCCACGCCACCGTTCGCTGCCGTCGCCACCGCCACACCACCACCGCCACCGATGCCGACTTCACCAAAGCCACACCTCCGTCCTATTATACTGTGGACAATGCTGAGTTGGTAATTTCAATTTTTCCAGATTCTGAGAACGAAGTAATAATTTAGGTGAGATTACATTAAGATTCAATTTCATTTCTGTATAGTATCTTGAAGCAGAGTAGTAAACAAACAAACCTTGTTTTATAACTATCTTATTCTTTTTGTTCGAAATATAGATGTTCATATGAAGTTTATCTGGAACTATTTCATTTCAAGAATCTAATTCATATTTTCTGATGCAAATATCAATTTTTTATATGTGAGTTTGCATCAATTTCCTCGCATCAATTTGCAATTAGTTGAAATCCCAATACGCGAGGACAATGAAGATTTGCATCTTGAACAATATTAGTTACAGTCGAGAATGAAAATTAATATATATCATTTTCACAATGATCTAGTAAATATTATAATATTTTGTAGAAGACTTCATAAATTGTTAGCTGTTTTAATGTTTATTCAATTTATTGTTAATTTCCTTCTAGGGTTCCACTTTTTCTCATTTTCAGAATACCATTATCTTGTACTATTGGCTTGAAAAAAGAATAAATGCTCAATATTCTTCTACATATATGATTGAAACGATATCCTTTCAGTGTATACACACATGCATTCCTGTCATTGTCATCTGTCTTATTATTGTCTAGTTTTCGTTCTCTCTTTCTACAAAAGAAAGTGTGAGTTAGTAAGTTCTTACTTTCGTGTTTTCTTTTCTTGGTAATTCATTGCAGTTTTATATGGAATCGTGAATCTAAATAGAGAGTAATGGTGTTGGCTGGAAGAGCAATCAAGATCGAGATGAGATGCCAAAATACCAAAGAGAATAGCAATCAGTTTTCAGCATTACCAAAGTAAGTTCGGTACAAGTACAAGCGGTTCGGTTTTAGTTAATGAAATGCCATAGAGAAATTTCTATAGCTTTTCTCATTTTTCAGAAAATTCAATTCTACCTTATCTGGACGAATTTACCGACGATAACATTTTTTTTGGATTTGGTATTAAGTTTGGCAATGCAAACTGATATTTCGATTTTTCTAATGTTGGGTTTAATGAATGGACAGGCCTATTAGAAGTGGATATTGGGCTTCGGAAATCCAAGAAATGGCTAATGAAGAGTCCACAAGACATAGTAAGGTAATGTCAAACCCTTCCAATATATTTTACATCTTGAAAAATCGTATACTGGCTAAAAATGGTTAATGCTAATACGTTAAATTAGCTGGCATGTTGGTGGATGGATAAGGCAAAATTTATTGCGTATCGCTGCATTGACTGCCGGTCTTATCACGGCAGATTTTCTCACATTCTATAACACTCATTTTCCCTGCCCCCATTCATTCTCGTATCGCCATCTCTCTATTTTCCTTTCAGTTTTCTACTTTTCTTCTCATCATTTTCTCAGATTTAAGGCTTTTGCTTTATCTTTAGTTGAAAATGATGAGATTTGTGTTTGATATTTTTTAGTTTTCGATTGTGCTCTTTTTTTTCTTTCTTATTTTTTGTTGGTCCCCGGACCTTATCTCCTCAGATGCATTCGACATTCCGTTTTCTATCTTCGAACCATTTTTCTGGATTGAAGGCTTTTGATTTATTTCTGGTTCAAAATCAGATGACACATCTGATTTGACATATATATATATATATATATATATATATATATATATATATATATTTTGACTTTTATATTTTCTGTTCCTCCTTCCCCTAGTTGATTTACTCATCCATTTCTTTCTGTTCAATTTTCATTATTTCTCGGGAAATTCTTGAAAACATGGCAGCTTTTACTATGGATTTGGGTGAAATCATCTATATAGTATATCTTGATTTGAAAATTAATTTTTTTGAATTCAATATTCACCAAACCATCTCTCTTTGCATTATTCAAACTACCTAAAGAGTCCTATGCACTACTGCACAATCCACCCCTCAGTAGCGAATCTCAATTTTGTTTTTGCAAAATTAGATGTTCAAAAGTGAGAACTAATGGTTCCTATGTTATATGTTAATATCTTTGTCTTTGGGTGTGACAAACGAAAATGAACTCAAACAATTGTCCTCAGCGTCACATGTGTGGTAAAGATATAGTTGTTAGATACATCAAATGCAATTTGAAGGATTATTGCGTTCTCAGCATCACTAAGTTGTGAATAAGTTTGTTGTTGAAGATACTTTTCATTCCAGTGTTTCAGTTTTATGTTAAGCTACTAAAATTATATCTTTTGCATCTGGAAATTCTTTGACTGGAACCAATCTTGTGACGTGGGCTTCCAAATTGTCACAGCCGAAGAATTTCCATGACACAAGATTTTAGTAGTCAAACAATTGAGCATTGAAGTATAAAATGTCACCAACAACAAAAGTTCTCAACATTTAATAATGCATGGAATGGCGGATAGTTCTTATTGCATCTGGTGCATTATAAAACTATTTCTTCATCATTCTTGTGACATTGATGACAATTGTTTGAGTCACTCTGTCATACTCGAAGACAAAAATTTTTAACATAAAAATCTATAGTTCTCACTTTTGAATATCTTGTTTTGTGAAGAAGTTACGAGAGAGAATGAATGGTATGAGATGTGTTATTGAACTTTCAAAGTTATTGGTGTTAGAAAAGTGTTTTCCATATTTCAAATATGACTGAGAATGAGTATACATATGATATGAATTACTTACTGAGTCATGAATAACTATTTATTTTGTGTTTTCGGCTTTGACAAAATATTTTTTTCTTCTGCACTATAACATTAATTTGTTTCCTTTTGAAGCAATGGTAAATTTATAATCATTTCACAAATCACATTAATATTTCTGCACCATTAAACAGTGATACATCTGAAATCTTCACGATTTGCTTATTACTGTAAAAAGATCTTTCCGATTGAGTATTCAGTTATGCAGAGAGATCTGTGCGATGTGGTAATAATTGTAATTTTGATGATTGTCATGCACTCAATAAAATATGTATTAACCAAAGTGATCTTTACTCTTTAGTGTGCATTATTGTAAAAAATGCATTTGGAAAAACCTTTTTTGTACAATAAAATTGACACAATCAGTTATAAAAGATATTCAAATGCTATGCAAACTTTATGATGATCAATTGGTATCTATAAATGCTAGCTATAGTGGAGAAAGATAATTTTGTATGAAGAACCAATTCTGGTTGTTACATTGAATGGTGTACTATCAAAGATAAATGCACTAATTAATCTATAAGATAAGGGCCCCCTTTTTTTTCATTCAATTTTCTTGATGCTCCCAAAAAATATTGAATTCATTATACAAATTCATACTAAGAAATGCTTGAAGCACATCACGTAGAATGTTCAAGAACACAAGAAAAAATGTCGAAAATAAATTATTATTACCTGCAATGTCCCATAGTCCTAGTTTGACTGTTCTGCCATCCACAACTACATTTGCTCTGAAGTTGTCGAAAACTGTAGGAACATAATCATGTAATACGAAATAAGATATAACTATCATGATGCTCCCAAAAAAATTCATGAAGCCAAAATACTTTTAGAGCAAAATTATTCTCCTGAAAGACTTTGATAATTGCAATAATGTAAATTTTAATTATTGAACACAATTAATTATGGTATTGAAGAAAATTGATTTTCTCATGCATTTGTTGACACTTATTACGTGCCCTTATAAAATAGTTGAAATTCGAATTACCAAAAAAATCTTTAGATTTCTATCATTTTTATGGCTTGTGCGCGGGGAACAATGAAGATAGTCAGGATATGCATCTTGAACAATATAGCTTACCGTCGATAATGGAAAATAAGAATTTTCATTTTCGGGTTATTATATTTGATGGATATTCTTTAAATTCTAGAGGAATATCTGGTCCATGAGCTTCCATACATTTGATTTTATGTATTGGCCATTGCTGTTTGGAAATAAGTATTGAAGTGTTGAATCACACAGCGCTGTTGCCTTTTGATTTAATGAAAATGCTTAGAGAGTAAAATCTGTTAGGTGCAAAAGAATAGTTCATAGGTTGTTTGGTTTTAATTTGGTATGCATTTCATCAAAATAACATCAGAGATCTATGTTAACCTGTGATATCACTGTATAACTTGCCATTTCTATAGCTTATTGAGCAGAAATCAAGCCAAACATGATAAATAGCCTATGAGCTATTTAGCAGTTCGTTAGATGTGTTGTACGTTGTGGTAAACCGACCGAACAAAAACCAAAGCTTTAATTTGTACCGAATACTGAACTGCTATCCATATTTCACAGTTTTGGCTTGGCACCGTTTTTTTTGGTTTTAGTGTACTCAACTGAACGTAACACTGAATTTATATTCAATTTCTGGTTTTCACTTTTCTCATTTCAGAAAATCCTCCTCTTGTACAAATATGATTGAAGAGAAGTTTTCCATGTATATGTTCATTCCTGGTATTGTGATATGCCTCATTATTAGCTAGTTTTTGTTGTTTTCTTCTACCAAAGAGAATGCTAGTTATATGTTTTTGTTTTTATTCAATGGAAATTTTACATGTAATCCTGAATCTAAATAGAGAATAATGGTGTAGGCTGGAAGAGCAATCAAGGCCAAGATGAAATTTTGGAAATTTCCGAGGAGCAATCAAGACCAAGAATGGCAATCGGTTTTCAGCATTGCCAAAGTATATTTGGTACAACTTCCAAGCTGTTCAGTTTAATCAATGAAATATAATTAGTTGTCTCATTTGTCAGAAAATCCAGTTCTCCCGGATCTTTATGAATTTACCGAACCGAACGAAACCAAATTGTTTGGTTTTGGGTATCAAGTGTCGCAAAATGCAAAATGATATTTTTTTTTTCTAATTTTGGGTTTGCTGAATGAACAGGTCTATTGGCAGTGCATATTGGGCTTAGATACTCTCATTCGGAAATCCAAGAAATTGCTTGTAGAAATTCACAAACCGTTGTAAGGTATTGTCAAGCCCATCCAATATGTTTTATATCTTGAGAATCCGTATATTGCTGCTGCCAGCTAATAATTGTTAATGCTAATACGTCAATTGAGTTGGTGAGTTGGTGGATGGATAAGGCAGAATTTATTGCGAACCGCTGCATTGAGTGTCGACCCTATCAAGGCAGATTTTCTCACCATTATATAACACGCATTCTCCGTGCACCAATTCATCCACCATATCTCCATTTCTTTTTTCCTCTTTCAGTTTTCTTCTCATCATTTTTTCAGACTGAAGGCTTTTGCTTTATTTTTGGTTGAAAATCAGATGAGATTTGTGTTTTATATTTGTAAGTTTTAGTTTTATTTAGTTTTTGAATGATGCCGATATTTTTTTCTTATTCGTCTTGCCCCCTCGCCTCCCATCTCCTTAGTTGTATTCAACATTCAGTTTTCCATGTTCTAACCATGGATTCAAGGCTTTTTATTACTTCAAAATCAGAGGACTTATCTGCTTTGAGTCGCATAAATTTTTTATTTTTGTTTTTGAATTTTGTATTTTTCGAATTTTCATTCCCCATCGCCTAGTTGATTAATGTATCCATATCTTTCTGTTCAGTTTTTATTCATTTCTACTTTGGATTAGAATTTGGAATATTATTTTGCTTCTAGGACAAGTTTATGTGTCGTAGTTATGTTGCTTCTCTTTCTGATGATTTTTTTCCTTGTAGAGTTATTAATGAAGATTATCCTTTGCTGGTAATATGCAGATGAAGAAGCTCAATTTAATGGTAAATTTAGAATTCTTGTATTTGTGCAATTAATTCACTTGTATTAATTTTCTCCTACTAATTAAAAGAGTAAAATTTCAAATGCCATTCCTGCGTTTATCTTTTCGAAACTATTTATTGTAGTTAAATTATTTTGATTAATACATTCATATTTCCAAGAGGGATCTGATGTTGTTTTTGAAAAAAAATATCTAATCATCAATCACGAAATGATTTAGTAAATAACCTTATCTATATCAACTTAATCGACAGATTTTATATTATATTTATTTTTGAGAGGATTATATCCGGATCTGTAGATCTCTTCTAATTCACTACCATACCAACTTTTTCATAAATGAAGATATTCAAAACTGAGGACAATGAGTTCCTATGTTAACATGTTTTTGTCTTTGGGTATGACAGATGAAAAAAAGCGACTCGGATAATTGTCATCAATGCCACATTCAAGGTAACTTTAACTTTTGTTAGGAGGTTTTAACTTTCACCCGTATTACACTTTTTGTTTGGAAAATGAATTTGATATCTCTTATCTTCTTGTTACTGATATGGATTTTGATGCCTCCAAACGAAATCGAAGCGCCTTAAACTGGTCTCTTGTTCTTGCATGTTAGTATTTTTTTATGCCAGACTTAAAACTTGACATCAACGAAAAGATTCAAAAAACAAAATATATTATTGACATGGATTATACTTTCGTGTGGAAAATTAGTTTGATACCCTTGTTTTCTCGTTATTGATCTTAGATTTGATGTTACAGAAGAAACTCGAAGTGCCTCAGGATATTATTCAACCTGAAATTATTAAATTGCATATATGATATTACTAGGTTAAGATACACATAACTAATAGAATTATGATTAAATGTAATAATTTATTTTTCTTTTTTTTTTGTCGAACAGGCTTATCGGTTGCAGGACTACGGCTTCCCAAAGCAAACCTTAGCCATGAGTATCAACTGAAAAAAGGTGGATATTTCGAACCAATTTCTTTTCTCGATAATTCTGTGCTCCAATATGCAAAATGTTGATTTTAGAACTTATGTTGTGCAGCGGTAACTGCAAATCATCAGTATTTGATATTCACCGAAGCTGTTCAAACTGTTCGTACAAGCTTTGTTTGTGTTATATGCCAGGATGTTAGAAACGGCTTTGTTTCTGACTGTAAACTGACAAATAAAGGTAACATTATTTGTCCACCTCAAGGCATGGGATGGGGGGGTGTGGTCCTAGGATTCTGGAGTTGAAGTCCACATATCTAGTTACCTGGATATCGTAACTGCTAATGAAAGTATTATAGTCCATATCTACAAGGACTAATGAGGTAAAGTCAAAGTTGGCTAGTATGTTTTATTTACCCTACCAATTGCTTAAAATGAGTTCGTATATTAATACATGTTTCTTTGGGTTTGACAGGAAACAAGCGACTCAAATAATTGTCATCAGTGTCACAGAAACGACAAAGAAATTGTTATGCAATGCCCCAAGTGCAAGCAGAAGAATAACACACATTCCCTGTTTCTGGGTTATTTTTGGCGAAATCCAATAGGGTCAACAACCTGCTTAAATTGGTGCAAGGTAACTCGACTTCTCTACTATGTGAAATATGTGGTTGGATGACACCTTTGCTCATTTTGCATCGTTTTGTTTGGTAAATTATTTCCAAATTAATTTTCTGAAAAAATCCTGATATTCTTCGTATAACTTCTTTCCTCAATTACTGTCTTATTTTTTGTAATTGTTCTCTCTCCTGAGAGGAAAAAAATAACAGAAATACTAAATTCTTAGTGTCCTGTGTTTCCGTGCAAAATTGTCAATCTAGAGATTTGATGATTTGTTGTACTCTCTTGATGCTTTATTGCATTGTAACCGAAATTTGGACCAATATATATGTCGTCTCTACTCTTTATATTAACCATGTCAAGTATCACTTCTTACATATGTTTTACGTTTTTTGTTTTAGCAACCTTAAAAAATGTAGTGTTGAAATGATTTGATTTCTGGACTGTGGCATGTGCAGGAAACTATCAACATGCACCAGTTTTTCGAAGGATATGTTGAAGTTCTCCCCTAAGATTGTAGGTCGGGATCAAAATTTCGAAGTTCGAGGACTGACTGAATCGTTAGATCCTAGGCCGCAAGCATTGCACACATCCATTTGCACCCCGGTATTGGCATCAGAATGTACACGGGAATCCTACTCAGATGAGAAAAAGGTTGATGGAGGTGATGAAATTGGCTCTTGAAAACAAAGGCTTCCACCGTTTTCAACCGCATATGAAAGACTATCTTTTAAAACAGATTACATGCCTTGCTAACAAAATAAACTCCATTCCAGAGTCGTATTCGTCTTAGTGACAACATGAAAGAAGGAATTTATATATATATATATATATATATATATATGTGTGTGTGTGTGTATTGGCAAAATGAACTTTGCTCCCTTGTACTAAACTCCATTGTAGAGTTTTACTCGTCGTCTTACTGACAACATGAAAGAAAGAATTTTTTTATTTACAGTTTTTGTCCCGAATGGATTATTATCAACCAATTAGCATATATATGTGTCTGTAGCATATTTATAAATATACCCCTATATTTTTAATACTTACACGTCTCTCCCAAGTTCTTGTATCCCATTTTTGGGACATGACATTTCCCCGTTCATTTCCCATTTTCCCATATCATCATTTCTGTGTTCGTGCTACATAGATTGATATATTTCACCTTGATTTGTTCATTGTGTAGAGGTACTTACCCTTGCTCTCTTATACTTCGAAAATTGTCATTTACCTAGGGGTGGTAAACGAGCCGAGCCGACTCGTGAGCTCGACGAGCCGGCTCGTAAAAAGCTCGAACTCGAGCCGGATTTTAGTTGTTCATCAGCTCGCGAGCCGGATTTATTATTATTTTTTTATTTTTTATATGTTATTTTTATTTAAATAATGTATAATAATATAAAATATTATAGAAATAAATACAAATATTAAAAAAAATATTTAATCACAATTTAGTTTTTATTTTGTATTTTTTTAAAAATATTTTTAATAATAAAATAATAATTAAAAAATATTTAAAAAAAAAAAATAAAAGATTGGGCTCGAGCTCGACAAAATTAACACGAGCTCGAGCTCGAGCCAAAAAAAGAAGAACTTGACGAGCTCGACAAAATAGACTCGAGCTCGAGCTCGAGCCAGCCAAAAGAGGCGAGCTCAGCCAAGAAGTCAACCTATTTGACTACAGATGATGTTGGTGGTGTAAATAAATCCAAAATAATCCAATTTTTTTCAAATTGAAAATCTAAATTTTTCAAAAAATTAAATCAAAAGTTGGAATGATTTTTTTTTTTCTTTTCTGAATGAATTTGTATTTATAGTTTTTTTTTATATTAGTTATTTGGGCAGTTGGTGTTTTTTTATTTTATTTGTTTGCAGTTTAGAGTTCATGATTTAGTGTTTGTATCTGCATTATATACTTCACTTTTTACAGTTTGTACTTCACTCTTTATTATTTTCGTTTACGCTTGTCAAGTGTATATTTTTACACTTAATCATATCTTTAAATTGGAGCTTTTGGTGTACTTTATTGATAATTGGTAGGGTTGTGCATGGATCGTTTTTAACTACCAACCAACCTATTTTCGACCCATAATTTGTGATGGATTGTCAACCATCAACCGGCCCATTTAAGTTGGGTCGATAATGGCAACCAACCCATGTATAGTTGGGTCAATAATGGTTCATAATATGCAAAAAAAGTTGGTTAGTCGGGTAATATCGGTCAATCTACTTTATTATTAATTTTATTTAAGATATTAATATTTTTAATTTCAAATTTCTATTTGATATCACATTTATTAAATTGTCTAATATTGATCAAAATCCTAAAAGCAATAAATCTAACATAGTTATCTAATTTGAACTATTTTAACTTTAAGACATATAGACTAAATATTTAGACCACTATCATTTGTTGAACTATTTTATGTTTAATTGCAATACATATGGCCCACAATGTTTTGAATTTTTTATTTGAATATTGTTGAACCAGTTATATTTAGTTTATAAAAGATATAGCGTTGTTACAACTAATAAAATTTTAAACAAAATTAAAAAGTATTTAGATGGATGACCCATCAACCAAACCATCAATTGACCCATTAAATTGGTTTTCAACCATCACCCAACCCATGTAAATTGGGTCGATAACAGTTTCCAATGTTTACCAAAGTTGGTTGGATGAGTTGGGTTGGTTTTATGGCTGGTTTTTAACCAAACCAACCAACGCACAACCCTAATAATTGGTGCTTAAAGTGTTGATTTATTGTGTTTTGGGTATAAATTGAAGAATTGGATAAATAGAGAGTCAAAACTGCAATTTTGGAGAAAATATGGGCAAAAAATGAAGAAGTAAAAATTCTGAAGAATAAGAGCCCAGACATCCGTCTGAGAAATACATTAGGAATTCCGATGGCCGTCCGAATATATTCATGGGATAACAAAGTCTCTGGAATGAGACGGCCGTCTGGAATTTGAACTGCAAGTCTAGACGGCCGCCCGAGAAGACGTAGAGGCGCAGTAAAGAAATTCTAATTCCACCCTATATAAGACCAATTCAAGCACATAATTGGGCACCAATCTTTTGACGCAAATTCAAGAGCAGAGAAGATCTACGAAGACTCAATGATAGTTTTTCTTATTTAATTTATTTATTTTATTTTGCTTTATCATAAGAATCACGAGTAGCTAAGTCTTTATTTCTAGGATTTTATTTTGAACCCTATGTGGGATTTATGAACCCAATCCTATGATTTTATGCAAGTTTAATTTCGGATTATTTATTCTACATGTTTTATTAAGTGCGTGAAATTGGCCACTTTATGTGCTTTTATGTTATTGTTAATCGCATGAATCGGAAGATCGGATTAATAATTAGAACTGTGGTAGAAGAGCCTTTGTGGTATTAATATAGGAATATATTTAATCTCTTCGGTAGCCATTATTGAGATTTGTGCTTAATGCTGTGTTCTAGAATTAATTGCGTAGGAATACAGTAATTGAATCTATAATATTATAATCGTAATAAACGAGGAAGGGGGTTATGATTAATTTAGCATCTCAGGTTAATAATCCGAGTTAATTACTTGCATAATTGAAGGAATTAGGGGAGTAATAATCACATGGGGGGAGAATACAATGATAGGCTTGCCTTTTCTCGTTTCATTTTTTTCTTGCTTTTGTCTTTTTATTTGATTTTATTGCTTTAGTTTAATTTAGTATAATTGTTTATATTTCGACAATGTAGGATGTACTTGATACCAATGGGTAGAATTTAGGGTTTAAGATTAGATAATTAAATATTCTCTGTGGGATCGATACTTGAACTTAAAAATCTACTTTATTACTTATACGATACGTGCACTTGCGTGTAAGTATTACCACCAACAATGGGTTGCCTTCACTGTTTGTATTTGGAATTTATAATTAGACGTTGTTAATATTTGCACTTATTACATTTGTTGTTTTGTAACTTACAATCATTTTTTTTTTCACATTCAACAGCCATTAAAAAAAAGAAGAAGACTAAGCCTTTGTTCAACAACATAAAAAAAAGGAAAACGCAATATTAAATGCATACGTACGTCCGTGAAATAGATATCAATGGTGAATGAAGAAGATGTACAGTACAGTACTAAGTTGACTTAGTTCACAAGACCGGCCACGTCAGCCGCCGTAATTCCTAAGTGGGACGATGACAAGAATAATGAGACATATGACGTTTTTGGTCGGTCACAGATAAATACAATAGTTATATTGGAATGGGGGATAAACAGATAAGTGTGTATTTAGATATGAATTGTGTTAATCCCAAAGAATCAAAATCCTTATTGGCTTAACCACTTTAGACCTATAAGTTCATGCAATGTTATGTATAAGATTATCTCTAATATTCCATTGAAGAGAATTAGACCTATTCTTAACAATCTTATTGCTCCTACTCAAAAGTATTTTTTGTTCCTAAAAGCTATTGGTGATAATATAATTATGGCACATGAGATGTTGCACACTATGAAAAAAAGAAAATTTAAAGAGGCTTCCATGGCTATGAAATATTGACCTTGAAAAACAAGCTTGAATGGAAATTTGTCAAATTTGCTCTCACAAAATATAGTTTACCTAGTCAAATAATTGATTGGATTATGAAATGTGTTAAAACTATTACTTTTACTATCTCGGTGAATGGACATTCTTCCTCCCTTTTCGTCTCCTTAGCGTGGTATTAAACCGTAGATCTATATAAATAATTACCCACTAAGCACACATTCACATGGGTGTGTGTTATTATATGTAGATCTATGGTTTGAAAGCACATAGAGTATTTCACCAGGTGTAGTTTGTACAAAGCCGTCATAGTAGGGGAGGGTCTAAAATTCCTATTTTATGCTTTGCTGACGACTGCATAATTTTCTCTAAGCCCAACCAAAAATTTATTAATTTTATCAGAAATTTGTTGGATATTTTTACTCGTGAAGCTGGCCAAAGCATATGTTGGAACAAATCTAAAGTTTTTCTCTAAAATTTTGCAGCATGATATTAAGCGGAATATATGCAATACTCTTCAAATTGCTAGAGGTAAAGTGGGAAAAAAAATACTCTTCTTTAATAGATTGTCTAAACAGACTTTTCATGAAACTGTTCTTAAAGTGCAATCTAAAATTTCTAGATGGTTATTGGGTGCTAAATACCTAACATGCAAGTGCACGTATCGCAAACAAGTAGTAAAAGTGGACTCGTGAGAGTCGGATGTCGATCCCACAGGGAATACGTAAATTATCTAATCCTAAGTACCAAATTCTAACAACTATGATTTTTATCCAGCCTACGCAAGGTTGTCAATTTATTCAACTAAATAATTAAACTAATTGTGAAAGCAAATAAACACGAGAAAATATCAATAAAAACGGACCTAGGATTTTATCTTCCCCTATGCAAGAATTGCTCACCCGAAATCCCTCAATTATGCAATATATGATTCATGATTATTAACCCGAGACACTCATTTACTCATAACCCGCTGTCGCGTGTATTATGAGTCTATTATTCATAAACGGTTCACTATACGTCTATGCAAACAAATTATGAATAAAACATTAACTAACAAGTCTCGTAAATGGCTACGTAAGGTGATATCTGTATGTCTACGACACCACATGCAATTGACACACTCATCCGGTGAAAACTACTCGAAGACTCTTCTACTTACCGTCTAATTATCAAAATAGCTCTGTCGAGTCAATCCCAATAATCACAGATAAAGCACATAAATTGATCAAGTTCATGCACTAACAATCATAACAAGTAGAAGAAATAATCATAAAATCATAATTGCATAATCTCAAGAAAACGGGTTCACCATCCCCACATAGGGTTCCCACAAAATCCTAGATTAAAAACTTAGCTACTCATAACGAAAAACATAATAGAAGTAATAAAAGTCATAGATTAAGAAAAGATAGG